GGAACCGCCGAGCTCGGTGGCCCATGTGCTGGGGTGGCCGGTTTGCTGGCGCTGCCAACGACAAGGAGCGCGACCACCCAACCCACCGCGAAGCCGCATCCCGACGAACGGCCGAGGGCGCCCATCGCCCGCCCTCTGGCCCCCTAAACACACACACACACACACACACACACACACACACACACACACGGCACACACACACACGGCACACAGCCACACAAGGCACCCCACTCCACCAGCCCCCACCTTGATGATCTCCACCAGCTGGTCCACCCCGCTCTCCCCCGGAAATATGGGGCTCCCCAGCAGCAGCTCCGCCATCACGCAGCCCACGCTCCACACGTCAATCGCGCTGCTGTAGTCGGTGGCGCCAAAGATGAGCTCGGGGGCGCGGTAGTAGCGGCTGCAGATGTAACTGATGTTGGGCTCCCCTTTGACCAGCACCTGCAGGGAGGGCAAGGCGTGTGCACCCAGCCGGCTGAGCGCGAGTGCGGGCAACACACAGGCGTACTAGTGCTGGGCGGGGCGCTCGCACACGAGCGGCAGGTAGAGAGGTGGCGCGGGCGAGGGCGCGCACGGCGGCGCTAGACGGGCAGCAGTGGCCGTCACTAGGTGCGCGCGAGGCCGCGAGGGGCAGCGGGGGGCCGCACTTTGGCGCTACCAAAGTCACAGAGCTTGAGCTGGTGCGTCTCCGTGTTGACCAGCAGGTTCTGCGGCTTGATGTCCCGGTGGCAGATGCCGTACCGGTGGATGTGGCCCAGGGCGCGGCAGATCTGGTAGGTGTACAGCTTCACAAAGATCGGCGGCATCCGCTGGTTGTTCTTGCTGTACGACTTGCTGATCCTGGGGAGCGCATGGAGGGCGCATCGGGGCAGCGGGACCGCCGGGCAGGGGGGAGGGGGGTCGTTCAGTCATCCTGGCTGGCCTGACAGGCGCCGTTCTGTTTCTGGGTCGTGCAGAGAACCCAAGGTATCACACGCGCAGTGCACACGCACAGGCCCATACCATGCACAAGCACGTACACATACTGTACGCACACACGTGCATGCACACACACATACACACACACTCACATGCACACGCGCACGCACGCACACACGTACAGGCACATGTGGACACACACGCACACCCACACGCGCACACTCACATGCACGCACGCACACACATACACCATGTATTCTCACCTGTAGACCGTGTCGGGCACGTACTCCAGCACCAGGTGCAGGAAGGTCTCGTCCTTCTCTGTCTGCGAGTAGAAGCACTGCTTGAGCTTCACAATGTTGGGGTGGTCCACCACCTTCATGATCTGCAGCTCCCGATTCTTGAATCGCTTGTCCTGCAGCACCTTCTTGATAGCCACCTAGTTGGGGGCAGGGGCGGCAGGAGGGAGGCGGCGGGAAGGGGTCGCCACTGGAGTTTGAAGAGATGCTACCAGCGTGCACAAGGACCCAGAGCTGGCTGGAGGGCAAGCGGGGCCGCGCTTAGGCGCCTGGTCGGCTGCATCAATGGGATGCGCGTAGAGTGCGCTCTTCCCTGTGCCTGCGCTCGCGAGGCGGACCGCCGCCGCCGCCCGCTGCCAACAGACTGCCACGTACGCGCGCTTCCCAGGCGTCCGGCGCCGCCGCCGCGGCGCAGCCGGGCTGCTCACCGTCTCCGCCGTCTCCAGGCAGGTTGCCTGGAAAACGACCCCAAAGGACCCGTTGCCGACGACGCGGTCCGTTGCAAAATTGAAGGACTGCTTGCCGGCGCCAGACCCCGACACCGCCGTGATCACATGGCCGCCAGAGCGCCCCTCGCCCTCCACCACTCGGCCCTCAAAGATCTGGAGCAGATGAGCGGGCGGCGCGCGGTGAGGTTGGGGCACGCCCGCGCCGCACGGGGGCGTGAGGCATGATATTGCTGCCGCGGCGCGTCTCAGATGCGCAGGCGGTGGGCTGCATCGATTTTCGTGCGTGTGGCACGGTGGACTGGGCGGCTCCCAAGCAACTCCCTGCAGCGGGGCCCGCCAGCTGTCAGTCGCTGTCCGCGCGGCGACCGCGCGCACCTGCTGCTCGGGGGGTATCGGCTGATGCCGCTGCCGCTGCTGCTCCCGCTGCTCCAAGGTAAGCTCCTGCATGCCCTGCGAATCGCGGGGCGCGGCGAAGGAGGGGCCCCGGCGCGTCGATGCCGCGCCCGCTCGGGAGCCATCATGATCGGCGCGTGGCGCTGCGCAACCAGCTCGCCGCACAGCTCACCGGTGGCAAGCCCTCTGCCGGTGCTGCCTGCGGGACGCTGCTGCTCATGCCCGCCTGCGAGACAGGGGGTCGGCGGAAGCCGGGCTTGAGCTAGTGCGCTTGGTCCGTCCGGCGCTGGTTGAGGTCGCGTCTGGACGCGTGAGTATGCGAAACGGGCGCAGATCGGTCGCGCAGCGTTCGACTCACGTTTGGCACCGCTGATATACTAAAGTCCGAACCTGTAGTTGGGATGGGGGACGTGTTAGCGAGCGAAGGTGCCCTCGTCACACACAACACAGCAACACATGCCTCCTCCCCGCTCTATCCTCACCTCCTGCTGGTGCTACGGGCGCAACCTTTTTGAGCCCTCCTGCCTGTAAATATGATGGATAAGCGCCGGTCAGCTGCTGCGCTCGACCTCACAGAAACAGCACAGCAGGAAAGCCTTGCCTTGAGACCCACCTGCTCTCCCGATGCCTTGGACCCGAAGGCAGCACCCAGTGCCGCTACAGGCCGCAGCTTTTCCATGTAGGTCGGCACGCCCCGCCTCCCTGTGGGCGAGGGCAGACTGCGGCAATGCACCGTAAACGCGTCCGTGTTTTGTAAGTGTCAGCAGCGCCGAAGTCGTGAGCAGAATACCGTGTGTGGTTCTAGTATATGCGGAAGTAGATCGCTGTCCCGCAGCAAACTTTGACAAGTCGCAGGGCAGAGCTGGTGGGTAGCTGCCTTCCAAGGGTAAGGATATGAGCAGTATGCACGCTTGACCTTTGACAACCGCAGCTTTTCGCTTCGCTCGACGCTTGCATGAGAACGTTGCAAGGTTCTGTCTGCCACGTACAACCGACGGCACCTTGCAGCGGCGGGAGCACTCAGCAGCCGCCAGCGACCGTCAGGCAGTGACGTGCCTGCGGGCGAAACGCCCCGCCCCCCTGCGCCCGGCCTACGAAGCGGAGACGCACGCTGCATGGCTTGGGGGGCGCCGAGGGGCCTCGAGGATGTCGCCGCACGGCTGCGCGCCGACGACCCGGCCCTCACTTCTCTGCACATCATGCGCTTCCGTCGCCTCAATGATGAGGTTCGGCCGCTTGGGCGGGACGGGGTGGTGCACCCGAAAGGCCGGGCAGGCCCTCCGCGATGCGCCGTGTTACGCAACACAGGCGCCAAGACGCAGGGGGCTGCGGCAGCCACCCAAGGGGGCTACTGGTCACCACCATCCCAATGACCCAAACGTCGCAGCACGCCTTCGGCTTCCAACGCCCCCAATTGTCTGCCCGCCGTGCGTGCCGCGTGCAGGATGTCGCGGCCCTCTGCGATGCGCTGACTTCCAACACCCGCCTGTCAGAGCTTTCCTGCAGCTGCCACCCGCTGTCGCCCGGCGCCGCGGCGCGCTTCGGCGCCGCGCTCGCCGCCAACGGCGCGCTGCGCAGCGTCAGCGTCGGCGACAGCAGCTTCGGGGACGCTGGGTTGGCGGCCATGGCTGGCGGGCTGGCGGCGAACAAGGGTCTGACGCGCCTGGATCTGGAACACAAGGTGGGGCAGCTGCCCACGCTGTGCGTGCTCGGCATCCGCAACGCTTTATGCCGTCCCGTATGTTGCAGGCTTACGCATGCCCTCTCAGATCAGATCATCTAGCCCGCATGGTCGCATTCGTACATACGCAGGCCCTTACGGCGGCGGGGGCGAGGGCGCTGGCGGCGTGCCTGGCGGCGCACCCCACGCTGCAGGAGCTGTTGATCGGCCGCAATGAGCTCGGCACCGACGGTGAGGGGCGCTGATGGCGCCTGCAGTTGTTTTTTCATATGCTTGTTTCGCAAAGATCTTGCAGCGCTTGCGCCCCAACCCCACACACACACGCACGCACGCACATGCACACGCACGCACACACACACACACACACACACACACACACACACACACACGCACACAAGCATGCACCCGTGCACTCATTCGCATGCGTGTGTCCCCCCAAAGACAGCTCTACGCAAACTGTTTGGGATTGCACATGTCTCCTGTCACTGCGAGTCTGCAGGTGTCTCCGCGCTGTGCGTCCCCTGGCGGGCTCTGCGAGCCCTCGACCTATCCAGCTGCGGCCTCGGCGCCCCAGCGGTGGCCGCGCTCGCGGCCGCGCCGGCACTGGGGACGCTGGCGCAGCTGGCGCTGGCAGACAACGAGCTGGGGCCTGGCGCGGGGGCACCGCTGGCCGAGCTGCTGGGCCGCGCGGGCAAGCTGCGGGTGCTGGAGCTGGCAGGCACTCGGCTTGGGGAGGAAGGTGCGGCCTAGCAACTCGCAGCGCCATAAACTCATCTGGTTGCAAATTCTCGGTGTCAGGGTGCCCAGCACGTTCAGTCAGGCCATGCTGCATCGATACATGTGTTGAGGGCGGCAACCCCTGACTTGGCGGCGGCCCTGATGGCGCCGCCGCCTCAAGCCTGACCCCTGTGACCCCCTGCCCCCCCCTGCTGTCTGCCGCCCTTGCAGGCGTCGCCACCCTGGCCTCGGCGCTGCCGTCAGCCCCTGGCCTGGCCGCCTTGGATCTGAGCCGGTGCGGCATGAGCGCTGCAGGGGTGCGCGCGTTGGCCGGCGGGCTGCGGCGCCAGGCGGCGGCGGGGCCGCTGCGGCTGGTGCTGGGGCCAGGGAACGACCTGGGGCATGAGTCTGTCGTGGAGCTGGCGGCGGCACTGCAGGAGCGCGCACGAAGCGGCGACAGTCAGCACGGGGACAAAGGGCAGCAGCAGCAGCAGCAGCAGCGGGGGCGGGAGGCGGTCAACTATGATCTTGACCTGGGCGGCGGAGATCTGGGGCTGGCGGCGGTGCAGGCCCTGGCGCGCCTGCCGGGCCTTGAGGGCCTCGCGCTGTTCCGCGCGGCCCTGTCCGACGCGGCTGTCGCGGCACTGTGCGGCGCCGTGGCGGCCAGCGGCGGCGAGGGGGGGGGCGAGGGGCACGCCGAGGAGCGTCAGTTTGCCGGGCTGCGCAACCTGAACCTGTCTGGGTGCGGCCTGGGGCTGGCCAGCCTGAAGCAGCTGCTGGCCGCGCTGGAGCGCGCAGGGGCCGGCTCGCCGCTGCGGCTGGTCGAGGTGGGCCACGCGCGGGCGCGGGCGCTCCGCTCGCCGCGGGCGCGCGGGCGCGCAACAGGCGCGCATCTTGCAGCAATGTGGGCCATCAACCTGGGCCATCGGTGGCGGCGTCGTCCGCGTTGCGACTGCATGCACGCTGTCGGCTTTGCGGCGGCATGCCGACCCGGCTCACATCACCCGCCTTACACTTTTGCTGACTCCCTAGGTGGGCGCCAACCCTGGCGCTGACGAGGCGGAGTTTCACGAAGCCGCCGCCGCGCTCAAGGCCGCCCGCCCCGAGCTTGACGTTCACTGGCGCGCCGCCGACGGCAGCAGCGAGGGCGCGGGGCAGGTCGGCGGCGGCGGGCTGCGGCTGCAGGCCGCGGCCCCGGGCCCCTGACGTAGGGCCGCTCGCGAGGACGGCTCGCGCGGGTGCGCGATTTGAAGCGCCGGGCTGGCCGGGCCGCCATCGTGACGCAACCGGTTTCGTTTCATGTGTGCCTGGCAGTGCCGAGCCCCCAGCCAGGGGGTCGGTCACTTCAAAGCATTCCTCTGGGTTGAGGACCTTTTGTTACTTTGCTGTGCTGAACTAGGGGCAAAATCGGCGTCCAGGCAAATGCAATGTCGGCCGCTGCACCTCAATCAGGTGGTGGGCCAGAAAATTCAAGGCCCAGCCGTTGTATGCCTCGCCGCCGGAGGCCAAACGGAAAGCGTGGTGGCGGGAGTCCAGCTGCGGCCGTGTCGTTTCGACGGGGCTCAGGACGTGGCAGTTTTCAAAGGTGCCTGCTGAATCAGGCACTCAGCATGCGCGCTCTCGCTCTCTCAACTCGCGGCAAACTCACTACACTCGGCACACTGGGGGTGACACAGGCGCGCGTGCGCACACACGACGGGGCACATGGCAGCAGCGCAACAAGCAGCGAGTCACAAGCGACGGCGCAACGGGACAAATCAACTACAACACATTGTCAGATGCTTCTCCTGCAAAAATTGAGCTCCACGGCGGTGCAAGCAAGGGGCTCCAGCAGCCCAACCCGCACCCCAGGCAGCTCGGCGCCCTCACTTCATGCCCTGGCCGCCCGCCTTGCCCTTGCCCTTGCCCGTCGCCGCCTGGTTGAACGCCTTGGCCTTGTCCTTCTTGAGCGCTGCCTTCTCCGCCTTGGTCATCTTGGACTTGGCCTTGATGGAGCTCTTCTCGATGGCGGCCGCCTTGGACTCCTTGACCTCCATCTTGGCCGCCTCCTCGTCGTTCTTAGACAGGAAGTAGTCGTAGTC